GAAGAGATTTCCAAATAACCTGTTTAAATGTCCCCCACGATTTCTCTATCATACCGTTATGAGATCCTGGTTTCTTGAAATAACTTTTAGGCTATTTCCTTTCCAAAAAAAAAAGTTTATACATCTTTAAAAGGCGAGGTTATCCGTGAGCATATAAAATCTATAAAGGCGAATTGACAAAAGTTATCTTTTTTTAAATCCTCTTATAACATTCAATAATAATACTAGTTTTTATAAATGGAATAAATAAAACTTGAATAACTAAATTTACTCATTTTAAGAAAAGCGAGATTGAAAGAAGCAAGTATTTTTAGAATTGCAATGAAGATAATTAATTAATTACGGCAAAGTTTTATTAGTTTATTTACAAAAAATCGATTTCTATGAGATATTTTCCGTTAGCTAGTGCTTTTATAAATTATTTGATGGTCTATAGTATATACGATTTTTTTTTAAGAGAGTGAAACCGTTTTGAACTTAACCTTGTTTTTGTAGATAGGCGCTGTTGGAGCTGTCCGATTATTTCACTAGATTATATATTAACAGTAGAACAACTATAGTTTCATTGATATACAAATGCAGTATAAAATGTTGGCCGAAACCGGTTCGAGAGTGAGTTGTGAGTGGTGACGTCATCGAGTCGCCTCTATAGTCTCTACGTTGACCGGATTTCGGCACAGCGGTCCAATGTCGCCTGGCGTCAGATTTTAATAACTACCTCCATTTAATTTGATGTCAGTATGAGAATCTGTTGAGGGGAATATTATCGGGAAATTGCAATGAAAATCCATTATGATAATTGGATTTATTTATGATTATGGTAGTAAAAAATTATTATAATGGGCATCACATAAAATACTTTATTTCTAGTATTTAATTATTCTATACAATCTATAGTAGACTAGACTTCGACTTTACAATGAGTGTATAATTAAGAAATATTAATGAACTTTGGGTTGAAATAGTTGAAATGTAATTACTAAAAAAAATTATACCGGTTGAGAATATTATATGTATATATGAATCTACATAAAGAACACATTAATTGAAAATAATATTATTCTTTTTATTTATTCATATGATACTTATATTAACAAACATACTTTATGATAAATATATGCTTCCATCCCGGACAGGAAATATGTGATCGTTCAACAACAGGCCTTTAAAAGGTGTTTGCAATAATTATAGTATTAAATACAAGTAATATGGAAAAAAGCTCTATCATATAAACTCAATGTCATAATAATATTTCACGATCTTTTTTATACATCATTAAAATGTGAACTTGCATACTTAATCTAAATTGAAAACGTTCTAATTAATTACTAAAAAAGAGAGAATGAAAGTAATAAATGTTTAAATAAAAATTTATAAAATGATATGAGACTCGCCAATACAGAAAGACTTTCTAACCGCATTTATGATTAAACATATTCAATAAATCAGTTTAATGGAAAAATAATGTAAGTGCTATGCAAATTTAGTTATCAAAAGTTTCAAGAATTTTAAACTTTGCTGTTCGCTTACTAAAATTACTCCTTTTACATGAATTTAATATTACATATATTTATTTTAAGAAGCTTTGGAAGAACTCGTTATTTTCTTTTATATTTGCACTGTTTATTAAATACTATATATTAAATAAATTAAGATTACATACTTAAAGGTTTGTCAATAAAAAGATAGATGGCTTTGTTAACGGATACTGAACCGCGGTGACGATATTTTTCTTTATTTAAGTAGGTCAAACACATGTTTTAATTTTGATTGAGCAGGAATATCGGCTAACATAGTGTTTTCTTTATAAGTCCAGAGTTCAATTACAACTATCCTATCCAAGTCGATCTCGTACTTTGAAGTCTGATTATTATAAGCCTTCCGTAAATTGTGATTACTCATGTTTTGTTCTAAAAATTTTAAAACCTCAAAATATTAAATAATAAATAATATAACTCCTATATGAAAACTTTTAAGATTATTTAAACGAAACTTATAAAATACATAATACGTAGATTTCCGACTTTTAAATCCACGTTTATTGAAGTGCCTAAAACGTATAAAATCATTTAATCCGTTTTATAATAAAACGGGAAACTTAATTGATTCCTGAGCTCTACTTATCATATTATCGCTTCAATATTTCAATACAAAATGTACTTTAATTTCTCGTGTTATCAAATAATTTCAGTAAATCCGCGTTTTATGAAAATAGCTATTTAGGATTAGTTCTACCTCGTTTCTAACGGAGGAGTTCTTAGATTTCCTCTTCCTACCAAACCCTCTCGATAAGTGCAAAATCCGCGAAGCAGCAGCGGTTTATGAATTTTAAAAATTCATCTTTCTAAGCCTTTAAAGCCCTTCCCAAACTCCAGTATTACTATAAATCCCGTATGCTTGTAAAATCTAGGCTACTTCTAAGAAATTTATTTCATCTAGAATATAATTTTGTATGATTTTTTAATATTGAACAGATATATTTAAGTATTTTTTACTTTGTTTCAAATAGAATTTATTATAGAATAACTTTTGTACCTTAAACACCAGAGAAATTATTAGAATTTAGGAATAAACTGTATTCATTCATACATTCTACCCCAGAAAACAGTCTATCGTTTGTTTAAAAACAGGCTTTTACAAAGACGATGACTAAAAGCTAAAAATGTTTTATCTCCCGTTTATATTGTTTTAACAAAATAGAAATGCATTTTATGAAATTTACTATGGCACTCCTTATGTAGTATACTTTTGTAGAAACACAGAAAGTAAAATTACTGAATAACCTTTAACTAAATATTATAGTCAAAATATTATTTCGTTACAAGTATGTATGTAGAAATTTATATATAAAAAAATGTATGCTTGTACGATTCAACATAAGAAAAATTTACAAAATTCACACATTTTCGATTCAATGTACCCAATTTTCTTAATGTCACTTGGTTAAGTACTAAAAGAAAGCAATAATAAAATAAAAATAATTAAAAAGAATCGGGTATTTTAAAAGCGAGAATCTAAGCGTCGTTCTTGATGCTAAAGTACCCATAATGCTCTTAGCGCCACGTTGGAAGCTGTAAAACGTACTTGATGAGAATTACAAACTAAGCACAACTCCATTCCTTGATAAAGCAATAAACACTTGTTGTAAGGGTAACAAAAGTTCAGGTTACATTTAACATTTTCATCATAGTTAATATTTAGGAAATTCTATTTAGGAAAGCCTGTTTAAGAAAAGACTCTCCTAAATATGGGCATAACTAACTTTACATCCATAATGTATCACAATTGTTAGAGAAAGTATTAATATTGGTATCGAAAGGGAAAAAAAGGAAATATGATGTATTGACATCTTACGACAATAAGTCCGTGATAATTGTCGAAGATTAATCTTCATATTTTCTAAATTATACAGCAAAATGCTTGTTCTGTTGTTTTGTATGATAGACATATTAATTAAGTCTTTACGGCTCATAATATTGGACAAGATGAAATGAATTATAATTGGAAATTATAATCACCGCGGTGAAAACGAGAAAGTCGTGAATGTCATTTAAAGAAATACAAGTTGAACATTTCTGTTCCATTGTACTAGATACAGAAAAAGTCATAAGTCTAAACCTTCTGCAGGATATGGAGTGTCAAAATTTTAATAATTTTATATCATTAACGCCTTTGATAAACCAATAATAGCTTTAAGTACTGTAGTAGTGACATGTTATTAAATATTAATATAAAAGAAACAAATAATCTCACATTTGAGAAATTATTTAGGTACATTAATTGATGATAAATGATTACCACAAACCACTCTTTTCATTAAATTACGTGTAAAGATTATGTATGTTAAAATCAAATAGATCTTTTTTATTAAATTATATGTATAATCTCATTAAAATGAGAAGACTCATCACAGCAGAATAGAGACAAATCTTCTGAATATGAACCGGTATACTATGTCGTTCAGTGGAACGCGGTCGCTGTTATACACAGAAGTTTAACATACACAAGGATAAGTGAAAGCATCGGCCGAGCACGCCAGCCATGATTCGTACCAATGCAATTTAACATATGTACATAATGAAAGTGAAATAATATTATTAATAACAATCGCCACTCAATTATCACACACACGTATAGTATTCTAAAATCGATTTTTGAAACATCTTTTCTTAATCGGTTCAATTTAACCTATCAGTAAAGGTTATAGTAACAAAAGACTTTTCTAAGGCTAACCGGATTCATAAACTATTGCTATATAAGCGGCAGATACATGAATCTGATACAACTTTTACAAATACATTTACTTACATATATGCTAAAACAGGTTATTTTGATATAAATATTAACAAAGGTCAAACTGTTTACATATAAATTTTATAGAACGATCGAGATTGGATCTCTCAAAAGGAAATTCAAATGTAACGTGATTTTAAAATGTTGTCGCTATTTTGAAGCGTAGTTTCGCATTATTTCAAAACCTAATAACTGAAGGAAAGCGTGTGAACTCGGAGAAACAAATAGACCTAGCCACTTTGATGAAATAGGTTTTGCGAAGTATGAATAAATTAGGTTTATCTTTGATAGAATTTTTCGCCGTGATGCTTCGTCTTGAATCTTTTACGTCTTTGCCATAGAAGTATCTTACAAAATAAACTTTTATATTTTCTCTATAAAAGGAATCGTTTAAATTTAAAATATTCACTCTATGAAACATAACTCTTTTATATGTTAAACTTTAAAAAAATAATATAGTAACAATAATTATTTTACTTAATAGCCATTTAAACAAAGTAATTATAATTAAGTAATATGGTAAATAGCTTAAAACTCATTTAAATATTACGAAATGAATTATGTTTCATTTTAGCTTTCATTAAAATTTATCAAATCAAAATATCATTCAAAACTTATGGGCCCTTCAATTTAATTTTTCCTGACTCGTAGTTCGAGCTTTTTTCGCACAAAAAGGGGAAGGTGTCGCATTGCATTGTTCAACTCACCTTGGGCCAAAGCCGGCACGAGGGCACCGCTCCAAATAACAAAGCATACACACAGAAACATTTTGTAATTGTCTCTTTCAACTAAAACAATATTGTACATTATAAACACTAACGCATAATAGTCACAAACACGCACACTGACAGGCTAAATACGAAAAGTTTCAATGGGCCGCGTGAAAGTAAAAGTTTCCCATTTGCTATTAGCGCGGTCGATACAAAACTGTGTAAATGAGAGTCGCGTAAAGTCGGTATGCGCTCGCGGTGGACTGTCACGGTTGGCGGTTGGTGCGCCCGGGCTGCCCCCACCGGTCGCTGCCTTTCACCGTTACAATTTGTAACCCAAAACACAGCGTTAAGCAAGGCTGTATGACGATTGACATTCAACAAAAACACGATTGTCATACGGAAACAGCATGTTATGTATGATCCTTAACAGACGAAACAGCTGACTAGTCTTGTAGCCCATCACAAGCTTACAATGGTTTTGTAATATAAAGTTGTTTCATCCTGTTGAGTGTATAAAATGTAGAGAATGATTCATCTATCAATGAGAAACAGGTAAACCCTAGCTGAATACTAAAAATATGTATATTTTATTTGATTCATGTACATTTAGTGATACAACACTACTGAATCAGTGAAGCAAGACAAACGTCCAAATTGTATCTCATCTAAAGCCAACGCCTCGATAGTCATTAGATAGTTTAACTTTAGTTTTTCTGCTATATTTTCGTAATTCATGCGTTGTCCATTTATGTATTTTTACTTGAGTTACAAATATTAAACAATAGGCTGTTGTTAATTATTATATATGACAAATAAAATTTTTATTATTAAAATCTGTGAAACATTATAAATTTTAAGTAATGATATCAATTCTATAACTAGGTTGGAAAAAATATTCATAATTAATATTCATAATTAATATTTATTAAAACTTTAACGTTAAATAATTTAATGAGTCAGTTATTCAGAGCATCTTAAAGTCCCTGTTTCTTCCAAGAAAATAATTCTTAAGAATTATCTAATACTATTAACAATTGTGAGATTATTTTATAATTATTTGCATTTATTTTATGACTTCCTATGTAAAAGGATGAAAAACTTCAATTCTTTTGAGAAGTTAAAACTAATTTGGTATCTAGAATATTCAAAATATTTCACATATAAAAGTTTCATTAAATGAAGAAACTATTTGATTTCTCCATCAATTATAGTTTCATTTGGAAGTAAATAAAGTCGAAAATTAATAAATAAAGCCGAAAATTCATCTGATAGGGCCTGCTTTTGATAAATTTGTTTCTATACGAATATAACCTTGCTGTAAGATTTTCTTTGGCTTTGAAACAGTAAACTTATTGCACAAGATGACTCCATCTTACGGTCCAAGAATTCTTTGACCAGACACTCTTCACTTTGCTCGAATAAAATCAACAATTGCTATCAATCATTCATAAAATCCTATAATTTATACAACCTTCTCAAGTTTTTAATGCTTGAGCAGTGAATGTTTGCTGAAAAATTAAATTAATGTAGAATACACCATTTTTAACATATAAAGTATATGACTGAAAGTAGAATGCATATTAGCACTACAAAATCAATAAAAATATATAATAAATATATATTTTTATTTTAAAGAATTTATGCTGAGTTACTTTATGAAGTAACTAATAAAATAGATGTGATGGATTGATGAAAAGGTTCGGTCTATCGCTTTTTAACTTATTATGATAGAATAAGTTCTTATTAGAACACAAACGCTTAAACTACATAACAGAAACTAAAAATTTGTACTTATTGGATTGGCAACAATTTTACTCGATTTATTGGTTACCAAATTAATAAAAAACTGTCTTAGTTTCTTTTCCCGTCTAAACGGTTAAGACTAATCTTTGTATTGAATTTTATCAAAATCGCTTTTAAATTAGTGTTTATTTTGTTACAGAAATACTTAAACAATGCTCACACTTTTGTGTAGGGTGCAATAAATGAAGCTATAGGTACGACACATTGACAAATAATTATACATAACTTCGTTTATCCTTATTCCGTCATAAAAGTTATTTCCCGTGAAATAAATTGAAAATAAAGAAATCCTTTGTTTTGATAAGCCTAATAAAGCCGGAATATGAAATTTAATATCATACATATACATATATACAAAGTCCCGTGTTAAAACCACGGTCTTTATGCAATTCTGTTTTATTTTATTTACCAGTTGGACCAGATTTCAGATTCATTTTAGGTAACCACTTTAATAATAACATTTATAACTCATAAACTACTTACATTGAAAAATACATTTAATTACATACTGTGTGGTAAAATTTCAATACTAAATATGTATTAATATCAATAGCAAATTTTCTTTACCATATGTACCTCATTCTCCCTCACCAATTATACTTATGTTTATTTTTCATGTCTTTGACTATGATAACCGTATTTCTCAAATAGAATACAGTTACAAAGGATTTATTTTATAATAATTTATTATTATAGAAAATAGACAGCGCATGTTCAGTTTTAGACAGAACTTGTAATCTGTAATATTTAGTTCAAATACTGTTATATTTATACAATAGCAAAACATTACCGAAAGGAATAAAAAACTTATCATTTTCAGGATAAGGTGGGTGAGGGTTAAAGAAAAACTCCAAGTTTTTTTCAAATAAATAAGTTTATTAAGCTCATATAACTACATACATATTTTCTTCTACATTATAATTTCGCTACAATAGATTAAAATGCGTCTATTCATAACATCTACGAAGCAAATTGTTCATAAAACTACTATAATTGTTTTAAACGCTCCTAATAAACTTCTACAACACTATCGACTACGAAAGCGAACTACATTTTTTTAATATATTTTTTAATGCATATTTGAAATACAATTTTATACTAATAAACTATCAGAATATCTTTTAACTACCAGAGAGAGAAGTTCGAAATGTGTTAAGTTACATTACTACAAGTTTTTGTAATCTTACGATAAACTATGATTAATTATCATTCGATAACTTGCAGGTTTCACAGCAAGTACATAATTATATTTAGCTTCACAGCAAAAATACTATATATAATATTTTCCTCCTATTGCCAAAATTAAATACCATTTTGTTTTACTATATAAATACAACTCGTTATGTAACAATAACATTTTAACATCAATAGATAGCAATATATTTTTGTCGCAGTAATATTATAAGTTATATAAAGTACATAGAATATTTTTTAGATAGTATGAATTACATTTATAGTTAATATAATTAATCCCAAAAACTCTGCTATTTTTGTAAAGATTTACACCGATTTGTAACATTACAATACACACATATTCAAATTACTTCATCTCAGTATTATAATGTTAGTAATTTTTAAGATTTTTTAAATTTCTTACATGAGACATAGATTTAATACAGTCGTATCGCAAGATAAACTTAGCCTACAAGTTTTATAATTTCCCAATGTAGTTGGCTAAGATACCTATTTATTAAAGTTTAAACAGCCCCGCACATTTAAATATATACACCGTATATTCGGATTTTAAGCTACCTTAACATAGTTTACAATAAGTATAGATAAAAGTCATTTTCTATAAAGATATATGTATGGAAAGTATTTTTAATATTCCGAAAGATACGAGTAGAAGTATGTTATAATACAAAGGTTAAATTCGTTCGCTATATATATATTGATATACAATAAAATATTATATAATTTAAAAATATTTATGTATAAATATTATGTTTTTGATCCATGAAAATAGATTTTCTACCTTTAAATTTATACAATATATAAAATTTGTTGTAGAAAATGTAAACTAGTATTAAAAAAAGATCCCTTATTCAATGTGTCCTTTTTTTAAAAAAAAACCTAAACATTTAATTAAAAAATAATATTGGGAAATGTTCAAGGTAAAAACAAATAAAAAGTAATATATTGAGATATACTGGACGGAGAAATTCCAATAAAAATAAATATTACAGAAAATACGACCAGTCTCAAAGCCCCTCAAATAAATAATCTTAATATTTAAAATATCAATTAATTATATAAAACTAAATAGATTTATATGAAATATATCAGTTTTATATCAGTATCTGTTATATATAAATTTTATATAAACTCGAGTATATTTTAATATTGTAGAGATGATTAAAAAAGTTTTAAGATTGAAGTAGATCGCTATATTCTGCTTACATATAATAGATAATATAATTTAAAATGACTACACATGTTACTACTTTATCATTTGTGCGCTATTGCAGCGGCAAGTATAATTTAAGAAGTAACATTCGTTAAAATTTTATACTTATGTTTAACTATTATATATTTATATTCTCTGAGTAAAGACAAAAGGGATTCATGCCTATTGCATTTCCATCAAAAATATTGGTGGTTGTATCCTATTCAATTATCATTGGAAGTTTAGCTCGAAAAGACCAACTATTAAAAAAAGGGGCTAATAATTTTTAATTATCCCACTTGAGAAATTAAGCTGACTGCTTAGAGGTTTCGAGTTACGCAGGTGCAACGAGGATGGGAACCAATCGACACAGCTTGTTGCATGATGTGAACTCTAACCTCACCAGATGATGTAGTAGTTGTCATTTCCAAGCCCCTGCCGGAATGTCTGTATGGACTGTATAGTTCATACTGGCAGAAGCAGTACCCTAAAATATCGCCGTATACGTTTCGGAAGATCGAATTTACAGTTCCATATAAAAATCCGGGTACTAGGGAGCGGAAAACTCCACAATAGGCGGACTCGTAGAAAATAGCGTTGCTAGCATTTGGGTATCTGTGGACGACAATGAAGTAGGGAAGCCAGGAGCAGACGAATGTCGTATAAGCTATGAAGTTTAATTTGGTAATAGATTTGTCGTATTTGTATTGTCTAGATCGCCTATATTGAGAATGCAGTAGAGCCTTGCGACGAACCTGCACAATTGAAAGCACCAAAAAGGTAAATGCCACTATTCCTGGAACGAACAAGAAGATAATGGCTGTAGTCATACGAAACACGTAGTCCCCTTGGTGTGTTCGACCGCAGAAATCGTAATCCAAATCATAGTAGATACCAGCTCCAGACAGCACGCCGCTAATTACAAAGACCAGAGCAGCGAGTATGCCAATTCCCTTGGAAACAAAAGGACGAGGGGCCGGGCTCTCTTGGCTGACACGTTGATAGATTTCCAGGGCCACAAACTGTTAATAAAAGAAATAGATTGCTTAATAGGACAGTTTTCTTTTAAATTTTATGCTAAATTCGAATGTAAGCATATAAACATATTAATTTTATAAATATTTTATTATAACTCACCGCATAGAAGGCGTTGTAACAATAAGTAGAAGTTTGGACAGTGCCCTGAATAACTTTGCATGTTGTCGCATTATCTACCGCTCCGGACAAAAGCACCACAATGCTCGTTGGTAACACTCCAGAGGTAATTACCAGGTCGGTCACTCCAGTACAGGCCATAAAAATATTTCCTGAAGAAAGATTATACAATAATATTTATAAAAATATTGGATTCGTTTTTCTTAAATGACAAACCATAGTAAAAAAAAACAATTTTTGCTAATAGTCATTACCAGGCATTAAACAAGAAATATTGCAAAAGAGCACTGCTTATCACTATAAAACAAAGAGATTTGTTATAGAATAAAAAATTACCAAACATCGCATCGCATCGCTTTCACCAATCGCTATTGCAAATTTGACTTAGGAAATAAAATTGTAGACTATATAAAATTAATTTTAGCAATCATAATAAGTACGCAGTTTCCAAATTAAATTAATATGCAAATCAAGAACATTTAACTAGTTTAATAATAAATTCTTACCAATATTCCTTAAATTCTCGTCAATAACAAATGATGACACAAAGAATCCGTTCAGTACAGTCCCCATAAGTGTGGTAATCATCAAGATCAAAACGCGGGTTGCTCTTGTTAGGTTGTTGCTGGAGAGGAGTGGCGTGTACATAGCAAGACTTGTCTCAATTTTATCAACATATTTCACAAAGGCTAAAACAAAACAAAAATTATTGAAAAATTATTATAAAGCCCAAAAAATATTCTTATTTCGCAGTATACATTTTAAAACATTAAAACACTTTTCGCAGAGTTATTTATACCGACGACACTATTTTAATTTGCCAATAAAATATATAAAATTAAATTTAATACAATTTGTTTGTCCCACAAAAGTTACTTCAATATAATTTTATATCACGTTATTTCGAGACGCAGTAAACTTTTTACGCGCGCAAGCTTTTTGTTTTAAAGCAATTGTGATTATTTAATTTCTGTAGAAATATTAAATTTAATATTGAAGCATTTTTTTGTATTTAAAGACATTATAACAGATTTTTTTTATATAATTTTTGAAAATTATTATTTTTTATTACATTATATTTTTCACTTTAATATTTTATAAACACTTTTTATTTAATATTATAACTACTTACTTGCTTCACTCATTTCCGTAAAATTTAATGCTCGTAAGATTGATGCAAAATCTTTCATCTTGACATCGGTTTTCACCAAGTTCCCGAGGGATGTTGCTATTCCGAAGACCAAATCGAATGTAAATGGGAAGCGAGGATTGCGACTGGTCACAGAATGCAACACCACTGTTGGAGGTCGTAGTTGCAGGAAGCATAGGTGTTTTGAGGAGAGTCCTCCAAAGGGGCGGAGCTTATATCTATCTCATTTACACTCGATATTTTTATTTAAATAAAATGTTTCCATAACACCCGAGTTTCGTAACTTTTTATTGAGATTTTTTCGCTTTATTTGACTGTTACGTATTATTAGATAAACTTTTGTAGCACTTTTAGAAAATTTTCTTTGTATTAAATTTAGTGTTTTGTATTAAATTAACTGAAACAGAAAAAATTGCAATAAATACGTATTTTATTCACTCTTAAAATCAAAACACTAGTTTTAAGCAGAAATATAATGACGAAATAATTTTTGATGATATTTAGTATTTTTTTAATATCCGGTAACGAGAAAGTTGTGTGTACCAACAAGCACTCCCGTTACCAATCAGGTTTTGGGGCGGCGCGATGCGCGTGAATGGATGGAAATATTTGGAAGTATGGGGTTGTGGGGTTAGGCGGTAGTGGGGATACGAGCTTGGGGGTCAGGGGGTCAGTCGTCGGGTGGATGAAATCAGGAGATTCAGGGGATGAGGTGATGGTCTGTTTTGACTTTTCGAAACTGAGCACTTGTAGGTATAATGGATTTTAAAAATTATATTACCTTTAAAAAGATGTAACGAATATTTTATTTATTATACTTAGAAATAGTATGTAAGGCTTTTAATGAATAATTATTATTTGTTTTACATACTAGTCTTTTAAATCATGGAAGCATTATATTAAGCGATTATCGGTGCCAATCAAAACGAACCTATTAATGAGGAGTCTATTTTATAGAGGAGGTATTTTTCTTTAACAATATTGATTTCGAGAAAGAGATTTTTTTTCAAAAATTTTCACATTTTTATGAACACATAAATTAACCATCTAAAAATTTGATTTTTTTAAATATGAATCTTTTAGTAAAGACGACTTGTTTACGGGAATCAGAAACATTGATTGTTTAATTTAAAAAATTAAAAAATATGTTATAGTTAAAGGATCTATACAATTAGAATATAGTCTTGAAAAATATAGTTTAAGAGAGAGATTCCTTTTTTAAGTTTTGACGAAAGGTAAAGTGCTTTAGCAAATTTTTTTCCTAATCCAAATTCTTTAAAATTAATATTTTCAATAAAACATAAATTATTTAATAAGATAACATAATAAACGTAATCGGCAATCGACTTTGTACATATATTTGACTAACTTTAAAAAAATATAGTTACGTACAATAGCGAAATGTTCTCAAAACTTTATAATTGACTGGAACCGGCATAGAAAAGGTAAAGACAACAAAAATAAAATTTAAAAATGTCTTAATTAATAAGAAAGAGAGTAATAATGATCTTTTGCTATAATTACTGAAGAGATAAACTTTTGCATTATTTACTTAGTTTATTATTAACTAACTAGAAACCTAAATCTATTATTTACCTGGAAACCTAATCCTTGATAGATATTTTTTCACATATTTTGCTTTGAAATTAAAATTAATGGAACAAAAATATATTTTAATTGCGATATCGTTTATACACTTATGGAACTTAAATTACTCGTTTAAATTAAATTATAAACTACAAGTTTGATAAATTTTCAAATATTACTTTAAAAAACTTATAAAATATGTAGTTTAGTTTATAATAACTATTGTGACTTTATTAAGATAGTACCTTAAATATATATCCAAAGTATTTAAACCATGTTAGTTCAGTCATCAATGTGAATCCAGAGCACGTTTCCCACGTAACGCTGGCCGCGTAATAGAAATAAAACATTCCAGTGAAATTGAGTGCATGAACCCTATAAAAATATATTCCCATTTTTAACTAGACTTTGCAAATCCTCTGGTACTTTATTTTCATTTTCGACCCTTTTGTTATACATACCGACGGTACACAGTTGCTGCATTGGTTTTTGAAATAGGTAGGAAAACGTAAAACTTGTCCTTTTTTATCCACTTTTGCTCGTACGCCTGAAATTTGACATAGAAATATTTTAGAGAATATTCCTTCATAAACTAAAATAAATAAATAACAGTAAGAATAAGATAAAAATAAAAATTTATTGATAATAATGAGAGACTTCGAGTCGTTCTTTATTCAGGTGACAGGAAATGTAAAGTAAATCTTTTTTAACTGATGTTGTTTTCTAAATAGTTCTAATTTTTAATCAATTTATTTATTCAATCATATTTGTTATAACATACCCAAGTAGCAAGTATTGTTTCAACATTACACGTACTCTTGTTGCATGGTTAAATTTCCCGCCCAACTCATTGTTTTTAATAAATTATTTACTTCTCTTCAATAATACTTAATTAAGATTTGTTTTCCACACTCCGTAACTACAAGGAAAGTTATAGACCAAAGGAATTTACTGCCACAATATTTGAAAGATGGCCTCTTTCCAAAAAATATTATAGTAACATAATGGTCACATTTGTGAAATCACTTGCGCTAGTATTTTATCATAGGTATATTAAAATTATGGGCATATCAAAAGTCACCACCAACGTTTTTGGTTCGTTAATATTCAAACAAAATCCATTGTAAATTTATATTGTTTTTAAAATTTTCAATACTTTTAAAAGGGATAATTATTACAAATGTAATGTCTTATAACAATTAAAGTTAATTCTACAAAAAAAAGATTATAAAATGTATGTAAGGAAAATAGTTTTTACTGTTTTTCAAAACACTAGTGGTAATTAGAAAATTCATTTGATACTATTTAATTATGTCACAAAAAAATACTGCGTATAATGCTGATGGAAACAAATGGAAAAGTAAATGATTATTTTCATATGATGACAATTGTCGTCTAAAGTATGATGCTTCCCAACCTCATAGCTTTCACGAGTTTTCTCCGATGTATTTCCAACTATGAAGAGACGTTTGACTTGGAATATTTATATTATTTTAAATTACTAATCCATTAAAGTTTCCATAAAACACTCATAAAATGTAAAAAAAAAAAAATTTGCTCATGATCACTCTTTAAAATTGAAAATTCATAATTATACTACGAAATATTGAGTTTAATTAATTTAGTTTAATCTTAATATTCATTTGTTAAGAATAATATTATTATTATGCAATTTATAATAAAAAGAGAAGTAATTCATATGGATAGTGAAATTGTTGATCATGAAAAATAATTTTGAAAAAAAGATAACAGGAGGTATTTTACTTACAATATACCTACTAAATAAAATAATAAACGACCAAAAATAATGGTTTTCCCTTCTATGGAACACAATTTATAAAAGGTTATCAAATATACCGCCTCTGTCTTTTGAATTTCGCCGCTATGCTAAAGCGCTACAGATGTCTTATTGCTTAACTATCATCATTTGAAAAGTCTTGACAAAACCTAGAAAACAGCGCTATGCATGATTAGGTTAAATATTACGTTAAACAGTATGAAGGTGTAAACATGAAGTTTAATAACACCAAAATTTGGGCTATTTTTAACTCGTCCTTCGTTAAAAGCTTATCGGAAAGAAAAACGTTCCATGAGATTAATGGTGTTTTGAGGGTTCTATCACTAGCATTAGGATTCTATCACTTTGAACCTCGAAGGAATGTTTTCAATGATTCAGAGCCGGTAAAAATGACCCTATGAATAAGCCATCGGCGGAAGACTTGTGAAGATAAATACCGATCAAATCATAGAAACCATAGAGTTGGACCGACATATGACATCGCCCAGGAGATGGGAGTGGTCCCCGAATCATTCTAAACCATCTGCAGGAGACTGGATGCTACAAAAGCTTGAGGTCTAGGTGCCGCATGATTTGACGCAAAAAACAACCTTCTGGACTGAATCAAATCCTGCAGCATGCTGCTGAAACGAAATGAACTCGATCCATTTTTGAAGCGTGTGGTAGCTGATGACGAAAAATGGATTACATAAGACAAAATCAAGTAAGAACGGTATTGGTTGAAGGCGGGTGAATCGTCTTAAACAGTGGCCAAGCCGGGATTCACGGCTAGGAAGGTTCTGCTGTGTGTTTGGTGTTTGGTGGGATTGGAAGGGAATCATCCAGACATCATCATCATCGTGTCCAGACGATTAATTCTACCACGTACTGCGAACAACTGGACTGCTTGAAGCAGCGGAAGCTTCCAGAACGACCGATAGAAAGGGCATAATGTTTCACCAGGACAACGCCAGACCACATACTTCGTTGATGACTCGTTAGAAGCAACGGGAGCTCGAATGGTTTTATTGCATCTACCATATAGCTCGGACATAGCACGAAGTGATAACCACCTCTTTGTGTCCATGGCGAACGCCCTTGGTGGTGTAAAGTTGAACTCAAAAGAGGCTTGTGAAAAATGACTATTCAAGTTCTTAGCAAATAAGTAGGGGGTCTACTACGAGAGGGGTATTATGAAGTTGCCGTCTGGATGAAAATAGATTATAATAGAACAAAACGGAACATATTTGAACTGAATCAAATCACTGTAACACTTTTTAAAAAGCATTAAATAAAGAGCAAAAAAAGCAGAAGGTAGATATTTGAAAACCCATTATTCTTAAAGAAACAGTAAGGATTTACCTTTAACTTAACTTGGATAACGAAACTTTAAAGATCTTTATAATACCTGATAATTTCTTTCTTTTGTTTTAATTGTTTTTCTTATTATTCTAGTAATCAATGTTGTAAAGTTCAAAATAAGAAACGGTAATCTATACTAATATTATAAAGCTGAAGAGTTTGTTTGTTTAATGAGATCTAAGATTTTCGCGAGTACACATTTAAATGAAACTAATATTTTCGGATTTTACTTCGCGTTTTATTTTTGATTAGAAACTACATACTCCCGACGTTTCGGCTACTTTTCAGCAACCGTGATCACGGGCAGACGAGATGTGAGTGTCTGTCAGTTGGTCTGGTCATTTTATCTCCTACCGCCATCGATTTCTTAATTGTCTTGCGTACCACTCTGGATGCCGGCGAAATGCGCTCACAGTGTCTCGAGGTCCTGCGGTGCGGTCACG